ATCGATGTTACACATACATGTAGATACTAGAGTTACAACAACAATTCTATAATTTATTTTTCTTCCACTTTTTCTAGAATGACTTTAAATTTGAGACTGCCACTTAAGCTGACAAGAAAGGTTCTTGTCCTCTCCTTAAAGGCTTTCACCTCCTTTGCAGAATAGTGACAGGGTCAACAAGGAGTGCACCATGTAGTTTTTTTTATGATACAATTTCTAATAAAATATTTAATAAAATATGCAATTAGCAACACAAATTTCATCATTATCATTTTTTTCTTGAGACATCAACAGGCAGTGGCATGTATCTCCAATCACTTCTTAAACAATTTGTCTAAATGTTTTTGTTTACAAGATCAGTAGCCTAGGCTACAAATGACAACCACCCTGTCAAACGATGAGAACTGCTGCTGGATAAGTAACCACCAGGTGGCAGCATTGATGCAAGGTACATGTTGCAAAGAAAGAGCCTCATTCTTGATATGTGCAGAAGCTTACCAATTTCTGTCTCACAGTAGTGCTAATAACTTTTCTTGACATTGGATGGGAATTCTAAATATAAGTTAACTTATAGCATATATAAGTTTCTTCCATTAACCCACAATTATTCCCATTAATATATTTGCTTAAAATTTTTGATTCTCATTCAGTTTTAGTGTGTACAGGCCAAATATTAAGCAGCAGATAAGAATTTGAGATAAATGAGAAACTAACAGATCTGTGTGCTCAGAAAAAAGCGCTAAGAAGATACAACTACCAATTATGCAGTGACGGGAAGCACAGACGATAGCTTAAGGTGCAAAAGAACTAGCATACATTAATTAAAAGTACTTGTAGTCAGTACAAGATATGTTTCTTAAATCCTTTTCAAGTTAATACCAACAATCAATGCAGTAACCATATATGTAGCATTAATACCAACAATCAATGCAGTAACCATATATGTAGCTTTCAAAATTTTAAGTTTTCCCTGGTAACACACTGACATTACCATATCCCTATTATGTGAAATTATCACACCTCTACTTATGGATAAACATGCACATACTTGCATGCATGTAAGCACAAATATACACGTGCATATATGCATTAACACAAACTTATGCATGCACATTAGCACACATTCGCAAACAAACACAGTGTGCCTCATAGGGATGAAACAGTGTCCTGCTGACTGATAACCAGAGGTGCGTGTGCAACAAGGTATCAAACTTCTAATCTGGTTTACAATTATCATCATCTCTGGATTACTGTGGATGTCTGTGGTTTGGATATTATAGAGTTTTGATATGCCGAGAGACAGTGATCAAACACAGGCCAGCTTCCTGCTGATATATGAAATAAACATACAATCTATGGCAGATTTATGCAAACACTATCTCATAGTTCTTCACATTACTTATACTTTTCATCAATGCAACAAACGACTTAGAGGTGGTATTGTGTTTGCTCACAGCCAGTCAAATCACAGGAGTTGTCCCCAACTTGATCTCAACAATTACTTAACATGGTCAGAAGATGATCCTTTTATTCTTCTCTTTAGTAAATATGTGCATTAAGCACCATTATATCCTCCAAATGTGATGAAACTATCATAATATCCATACAAACAAAAGTTTGCTCATTCGTACAATAACCAATGTATAAGACATAAAACAAATCAAATAACACAGCCGACAAATAACACCACCAGGAATATCATATATTCATTAATAATAAAGAAAATGCCAGTTTTGTGCTGATGAGGAAGTTTATTTCCAAACAACTTCTTCCAAAAGGTCTATCTCTGTAGTTCCCATACCTATTCCACCTTAAAACGCTCAAAGCTTTCAGAAAAAGGTCATCTGAAATACTGTAAACGTCCCATTCAACAAGAGGGACAAACTCCATGTGAAACTGAAGATAAATTTATCAAATTCCAAACAAGGAATTAAAATCCAACGCTTCACTTTGATTTTGAATTCAAAAACACCACTTGTAAACCAAACAAATGCATGGGACTGTCTCAGACAACTAAAATAAATTTTACAAACATGTCTATAGTGCTCAAAATTTAGCAAACCTTAACTGAAACTAAATGACCCTCCTTAATTTTTCCCAACAGTCTGATATAACAGAGTTGAACATTATACCTATCCCTATGAAGCCATTCCCATTGCTCCGTTTTAAGATAAACAGGCACTTATAGTGTCTGTATATAAAAATAGTCAGTGCATGCTGAATATAAAACAGATCTGACACAAGTAGCATTTAAAAACAACTTGTAAAGCTGAATGATTCATTATGGTACAGGTATGTGGTAAATTCATCTTTTAAAATCAATTCTTGAAATCAATTAAGTGATGGAAATCCATTATACAGTAACATGATTAACATTACTTGCTTTCGTTCAAGACCTATTAATTTTGTTCTAATTCCCTTTTCCTCACAATCTCTCTTTTACAGCTCTTTTCAGAACCCATTCTAATAATTCTGCATTTTCCATGTGTTATTTAAGTTATCAAAAGAATTTAAAGGAATTCTGCAAAAGGAAACAAAATAAATAATGAAAAGGAATGTCTGTGTAAAAAACTCAAATATGTGTGAAAACCCACAAAAAAATACTCTAAACTAAGGTATGTTTAACATGAAAGTCCTGTGTGGTCTGAGAAAAATAAGGAAACAATCAGACATTGCAAAAAGGTAAATCTGTGGAGTGGCCCTGTGTGTAGGAAATGATGTGTGACATCCTCCACTACTCTTATCTCCTCTCCTTATCTAGCTTGCCTCCCCACATAGAGGAAAAAACACATGGCCAGAAAGAAATACAAAAAATGGTAATAAAAAGTACAAGAACTGGACTTTTTTCAGCAATGTGACACAAAGCCACACAGAAGAAATCAGGAAATATCTATCCATGGTCAGCTTCACAAAAAGTTCAATAAGAAATATGTCATAAGGCAAGATGACAGGGGAGAGGAAAAGGGGCAAATAGTTGGCTGCTTCATGGCATACTGCGTTGACTGCAATACCCATTCTTATGTAAGGAGTTTACTGTCAGCATTGCATTGTACATGCATGCTCAAATCTTTCTGCCCCTGGCAAATTATATCATGTTGGTTATAGGCCTACCATTACCAATCCCACTTAATATCATCCACTGAAAAAAGTCCAAAATAGACCACAGCATGTGCTTTATTTCACATGAAACCAAACTTCGTACATGTATGACTATCTATGGATCTGTAAGCACTCGAGTGGTTATCAAGATGACAGCAATTAAGTGAGCATTCATCACAGACCGGAGCTGGCTGTCACAGTTAAGTGGTCAATCAGAGCAGGGGAGGACCTTAGGTTTGACCCCTCCGCCCACACCTATCTGGCACACACCTCTTGTGGTGGGTCACCGAGAGACAAGACCTCTTTATAAGAAATGCCATTGAATATTATAACAGAGAGATGACAAATCTTAATACAAAATGAGGCATGTTTCATAAGAAATTAATGGAATCAAATAATAACCAAAGACATTGCAGTTACACTTGAAACATACCATTTATGCAATATGGCATCATCAAAGGACACCATTCAAAGCTTTCATTATACCAGTAAATAGAAGACAAATCATATCTAGAACATTTCATATTCCTTAATGGTTTTATTCATTAGTAGCACCTCCCTCCACTAAACCATTTATTTGTCCTGGTGACAGAAGTCACTTTGTTAGAATGTTACACTTAATGGGACTTCACATTAAATATCAAAGTCGCTAGTGGCACATGAATCAGTGCCACAATTCAATGGCAATTTAAATGATTACTTTCCTCCAGTGATGCACATTTCATTACCTCTGCTTTGCATTTGAAATCTGCTCAATGCTTACTTTCTGTAACTTTAAGTGTATGTGGTTATTTTTCAGTACACATGACCAGCTATTAAAAATACTTCATCTTTAAAAAATCATCTGAGCATAAAAGAAACTATATTCATGATAAATAATTCAGTAGAGGCTGTACCTACCTATGCATGTTACTTCTGACTCTTCCTCATTTAACTCAAAAATATATGTATAAATATGCATTATCTTTATGTATGGAATAAATGGATAGTTGAGTTTTAAAAATCCAAAAACTGTACTCGATAACCTTCCATTTTAAAATGTGCTTATTTGCGTGTGTGTGCATGTGCATGTTCATGCCTGTGCATGTTCATGCTTGTAGGACATAGCTTGACATTTATGTCAAAGTACCAGAGGGCTGTCCATTGCCACCTTACCTCGATAAAACTTGCTACAATTTTTCGTGATGTTTTTAAGGTCTAATGATCAAACACAGATATGGATGGATCATTTTCAATAAAATCTCACATTGGACGGACAACTCAAACCATCAGGACTCACTGGTAAATTGCTGAAATGTTGGATTGTCCATGGTTTCCATTCATCTGCATTTGGTGCTTGTGAGCTGTTGCACAGAATGATATAGATGTCTGTGAGAACTCTATCATGAAATACCCTGATATACAAAAAGTTCTAAAGTTGCAATTGATTTTTGTCACATAAACATAGAATAACATCAGTTGCTTGCATCTAACACAAAGTTGGTTTTGTGGTGGATGTATATATCCATGAGAAATGTAATGCTTATCCATGACAAACATATAAATCACCATACTCAGAGGTACAACTCAGGACAGCTTGTTCTGAAAGGACTTCCACGTGTTGAAAACATGCCTCCTGCTGTATGCGGTTGAATCAGGCAAGTGTGGGACTTCCTTGAGGTAGATCCAAAAGACATGTAGAAACTCTCAGTCACTTTTCATCAGCGTTCATTGCAATCTCGACTGTCAAAACACAAACTGCATTTTTTACAAAGCTGAAAACACATCACTCATTGAAAACTTCTTTCTTGCTTTATAACCAGACTGCAAGGGAAGGGCATGCTGTATAAAATGCACTGTAAATCTTATACCAGTTGCATATAGAGGATTATGTCTGAATATATCTGAATATGAATACTTACCTACAATTTTTATGTTTTTCTTTTTCTCGTCCAATAAAATGTTCTCCATTTTCAAATCTCTGGAAATAAAAGAAGAAAGAGATCAAATGTTCAAATCATATTTTTAATCAAGTAAAATCTAAAAAAATATGCTTGCTTTGCACAACAATCATTAGGTACCAATATATGCGTGTGATGGAACATCAATCCTTGGATTATGTTCGACTATGCAGACACTCAAGCATATCAATGCTTTTCTATCAAAATATTTGTAACCAGAGGAGGTGGGGGCGAGGTGAGGGGGGGTGTGTGTTTTAGGCCATGATAAGTATAAAACCAAATGTGAATAATTTCACAGTTGCTGCCATAAACTTAATGTTAAAGTGAAATGTCTCAACAATTGCAAGCCTAAATTTCCATCATCATATACTAGTATTCACAGCCATGTTCTACCATAGTGTCCAGGGGATACATTCACCAAACCCTAATGATCCATGTGATTGGAAAACTAAGCTCCAGTTAATTCTTTAATAATTGGAAAATCATTGCCCTATATACTGTTGGCAAGATTTAAACCACAGAGCAAAGGTTGAACAAACTATATACCCACACCCATGTTAACTCAAAGCAAACTTGTAAGGGTACATTCCACTTAAGTTGAACAACTTCTGTAGCTTCATCTTTTCACCAGTTATCCTTTTATTAACAATTTTATGCTTACTGGAGGGTAAGATTAAAATCTACTATCATAGCCAGATAAAATAAACATGTCAATTTGGGCACAAGAAAAAGAAACTACAGTTACTTGGCATCAAAAAGTTAAAGAACACCCAGGAGGCATATATCTAAATAATTATAAATATGAAAACACTTCCACACTTCACTAGCATTTCCTCTTTTTGGTTTTAGTCACTGCATATTTTTACAATAAAAGAAAAACAACATAGCCTCTGGAAATTGACTGTGCATCCTTGCAGCTTTGGAATAAATAAGATAGCAGTACAGCTGGAAGTGAACCAAACAAGAGGGAAATACCTTGCTACCGATTGAGCAACAATGTGGTTTTTGTTGAGGAAGGAAAACCAGAAAGTGGAAATAATACTTATGACAACTACAGGCCTAACTGTCAACTCATAAAATCAGTGACCTTTCACAGTGGGATTTGTTTTGCAAAATGATTCTCCTGGGACGCAAAATATAAGTGAAATTAGCATATAATGCAAGCCTAATAATCCTGTCTGCAAATCAGATAAAAAACTGGACACCTTTTGTTATAAGCTTCATATATCTATAGATGCTTTTAAAACACATGCATTTGTGTAAAAAAAAAAACAAAAAACATTAGCCAGGTACTTATGAAGCACATGTAGTGGTTATGCCTCATATATGCATGCATAACAGCAGTGGCTATTGTTTCATAGCTGTAACCTAAACCATTTCTCATATTATTCCTTGTGTCTGCCAGCGTGATGGATTATTTGTTGTCAAATTATCTAACAAAAACACAGCTAATCTTATTATTCAAGAGAGAAAACACAACATCAATGGGTAGTATTGCTGCTGGCCCATGCTGTGTGGTCTAAGATAATGTGTGGTCCTCTACCTATACTTGCAATGCACCTCCCAAGAAGTGGTCAATTCCTGAAGGAACCACTCACCCTTTTTGGAAACATTTTTTTAAATTAAATTTGGCACAGTTCTGGTTATTCATCCCAAGGGTGCACTGTGCTTTGTTTTGTACCTTCTAAAGAAAAGGGTTGACATTTGCAATGAACAAAGTGATCAAATCTTAATTAAACTGGAAGAAAACTATTTTTCTGAATCTCTCCATTACTTCTGGAAGCTGCTAAAAAGTTGCAGAATTCACCAAACATGAAAAAGCATGGTAATCAAAAGCCCATTCCATTCTGTCTGTGGCCTATAAACAACCTAATCTATAAGATCACATATAGGTCAAAATTACTAATGGCAGGTTGTTGTGTCTGGGTAGCAGACAGCATTGCAGTTTGTTTGGCTGCAAAGAGGTGGAGCCACTGTACACAAGATGGTTGACTAACTGGCAAAAGGGTAAGAAGCAGTTTACATTGGGATATTGAATTTTCATTATGGTATCTTTTCAAAATAAAGTTAAGTTATACATATCAAAGTTTGATTACTTTAATATAAATATGTTTTAATTTAAAAATTGCAAAGGAAGGGAACAGGTTTGTAGTGGCTCCAGAGCTGGCATTTACACTAGTTAGTATACATGTAAATTTGGGATTTAACATTTTTGTGTACCCTTCAAAACAAAAATTTAGTAGACTGAAGCACTAAATTTTAATTTCTTTTCCTCGGGAGCCACAAAAAAATAACAAGAGGAGTCAGGCACAGCAAGATCTGACGACAGTTTAACTCAAGAGTGCTGACAAAGTAATAATAGAAAGTTAAACTGAGATTGACAGTAATAGTCCATCTATAGGAGACGGAAATAACATTAAAATTTTCTTTAATTAACTTGACAAGGCTAACCTTCCAACTTTAAACAGTCCCATCATATTTTGTTGAAGGGTCCTCCCTAACTACCAACCAGCACCTAGCACCTGCCTAATTTTAAGTCAATCACCCAATTGTGTTAAATGTCTCAAAAAACTGACTACCAGGGTGCATGAACTCCATATCTTTATGGAGGACCCTGTCATCCAGGGGTCAGGATGAGCATTTCCCAATATAGCTGGAGGACATGAACAGAAAAAGAAGGCAAGATCCAAGTTCCTCAAGCCATTCTTGACCTGATATGGATCTGCTTCGAATTCTCCCCACAGTGAGCCTCAGAGAGGTGAGCAATGTTTGCACAACCTTGCGCTAAGCAGGTTATGCCCGGCTATCCTCACCTCTAAAGTTCAAGCTATTGCCACCCAATCACGCAAAAGTGCTACAAATACTTTAAGTGGAATGTTAATAGGGATTCACTCTTCAGTGCTACTAAGAATTCACTCTTCAAAATGACATGGTGCTGTGCATGCTTAAAAGTTCCTTATAGTGAGATCGTGTATATGTGTGCATGCATGCACATGTATGTGTGTGTGTGAGAGACAGACAGGAGGGGGCATGAATCAAAGTGTTCAGCTCCCTTTTAATCCAGGCCAAGACACATTTACTTAGCAATGTTACTTTGCAAGTAGATGTCAACTGCCAAAAGAAAGAATCAATCATTTAGTGGCATTCTTTACTGGACAGACTGTCAGGCTACCACTGGTGTCAATTGGTACTTGTAGCTGACTGCTACTGAATCAACAGTATTTGCAATCAACAGAAACAAGACCACTTGGCATGTTGTTTTTTTACCAATTCAAAATAGAAAAATGTGGTGACAATGTGAACGGTACAGATAAATCTATAATACCACCTCGGCTTAAACATACAAAACACAATTTCTTCCATAAAAGACTTTTGGCTTATATTATTCAATTAAAATGTCCTCAATGAAAATTCAGGGCATCTTGGCACAGTGTGATTTGTGAACTATAGTGCAATTGGCCTGAGGGGCTGTCCCCTGTTATACAATTCAATATAATATGTCTGGGTTGAACTCAAAATCAATTCAGGGCTATTCAGGCAACCCCTTGGTTTGTTAAAATGAACAGATTTCCTATTCACCCCAGCTGGGAGTTCATTCACTGCAACAGTCTGTGTTGATGGAAGACAACAAGGACACAATTCATGAAGAATTAGGGACACCCTGGATGTCTACTGTTGCACCCAATCCAAAACAGTGACTTTCCGTCTGCTTGACTTCCCCTTCACTTAATTAGTCATTTTGCATTCATCAAATCAATTCTCATTAATTGAACAATCTAAATGGGCATTGGATGGCTGTGCACATGGTCTAAAACACAGTACAGAGATGTGCCCCTTAAATGAGCCCCCAAGTTGTACTGATGTTGACTCAGACGGAGTATATCCCTGGGGCCCCACGTTCTGATGACTCTGTGCCCCATGAAAGACTTATTCTGAGGACAAAACTGATAGAGAAAAAATCAATAGGACTTCTGTTACTTTAAAATAAATCATTCCAAACTATTTACCTCCTTTACCCCATATTTCTCATTACCTCAACCAAATGACCCCAGACACACCTGATGACCCCCAACCCCTTGCTGACCGGCAACAAACCCCACTATCTAATCCTGACTGATCCTATCCCCTGCCCATACCTGACCATTGTAATTACAATGACAACAGGAACTGAACTGCTGTTAATCTGAATTCCATCCGAATTTCTACCTCTATAAACGTCCAACCCACCCACCCACCACCAATCAGCCCCAAATTTGTGCGCTAAGTGTCTCCTGTCCTTTGAAAACCTGACAATGATGATGATTAGTGGACATCTTTAATTTATAAAACATTCTTAAAACTCAACCTTAAATCTTCTTGCATTTGGTCCTTCAAGCAAAACTGCTTTATCAGACACCTCTTCTTCATATCTGGGGAATTCACTAGTTACATAAGTAAATCAACCACATTTTTTCTTTTTCAATTTCCATTCATGTTCACAATCTTGTTTAAGAATGGGATGACCTACTGTATAACTGTACAATCAACAATAAAAACAATGCTTTACAACATGAGCATTATGTTCAAATAAAATACAATTCCATTCACTTGGACAATCAGTAAAATACAAAGCAGCAGCAATTTTAACCTATTTATGTACTCTTGCATCTGACTCATACTGTCCTAAATGAAGGTCCTGCAATACAATTTGTGCAATCAATCATTATGTCACAGCTGAAGTGGCACCCCCTGACTCATGCACTCAAACCAGATCAGGGGTGAACTGCAAACAATCTATGCCAGTTCAATTTTTTTTTCAATGTCCATAAACGTAACAAATAAGCTTGACCCCAGAAAACCACACAGGTAACCAAATTCCACCTTTATAGCGTGTCACAGTTGTTCAAGTGGCACCCATTCGTGTCTGGGCACAGCAGATTGACCCATTGTGAAGTTGTTTCCAAAATAAACGGAATGTGATTATTACAACTCTAGGGCTAAAATCATCAACAAAGCAGAGGAAGTAAAGATTAATTCTAAA